GGGGGGTCCAAATCCGCTGTGACACCGGCTCTGTTTTATTTGAGTTTAGAGACCTTAAACTAGTTCAAACCTGTATGAACATTTCAAACCAAACTACAGCATTTATTTAGCGTAACCAGCGAAGTCTACGGGCAGTCCCTCCTTTTCGGCAAAGTCCGTTACGCGAGTCGAAAAAAGTCAGTGAAGAAAAAATTGTTAATGCTCACTCCCAGGGCTCAGAGCGGCGCGTGAACATCTTCTCTTTTTTCAGCTCTGATTTTTTTTCTTTTAACTCGCGCAACGGACTTCGCCCAAAAGGGAAAAAACCGCTTGGCTGCAGTTATTCGCAGCCACACTATTTTCAGTTCATTCTTGTGACCATGCAACTGTCAAACATCAGCCTTCCGGTTCAACAAATGTAAACGGAGTGCGAGAATGGGGGGAAGGGATAATGGGTGAAAAAAAGGGACTCAATTGAGAGGAGATGAAGGAGTCACCTTCTTAACTAAGCTTTTCTCTTTTCAAGCGCTCGGTGACAGCCTAACAGAGGATGAGGCTGGTGTGGTCTCGCCTTCTGTCCATAACTGTTCGCATAAAATTCGTGTTCTTTAAATACCCTGCAGCTCTTTCCTTCTCTCGCGCTCTGAACAATGATTGAAGATAAAATACAAAGTCTGTGAATAACAGAATCTAAAACCCTAGTATTTCTATGGGCACTTCGCTTTTTTCACGCAGCCCGCGCGCTTTTCGCGTGACACAAACCGGTCATGCGCAATTTCTTCCCCTTACCATCTCCACCTGAACAGACTTTGAAAGGCAAACGCTATATTTCTACCCTTCCTAAATGCAAAGTAACAGAAGCAGCGCTTTCAGTGAGATTAAGTTTGGGAAAAGGAAAATCACTATTTATCGATAGGAGGGGTTATAGTGGGGGGAATCAGCATTCGCCAACAGAGTATTAAAGGGGACTATAGAAAATTGACTGCTAATGAGAAGGGGGATCATAGAAATATTGCATGGGGGGGGGGGGGG